ATCTATCTATCTATATGAGAGAGAGAGAGAGAGAGAGAGAGAGAGAGAGAGAGAGAGAGAGGGGGGGGGGGTTGTTATTTATCTGTACATCAACATCTAAGGTCAAGAATGAGAGAACTAGAGAGAAGAAATAAATAGATAGATAAATAAACAAATTGCTCGATAGACAAATACATAGATAGTGAAAAGGGGTATATTACTTTTTATTTGTTTAACAAGCCAAGAGATATGACAAATAAAATTATGTAAGAACATCCTACTTTGAATTCCTGCAGTCTCCCAAAATGAAACCCATAACAAAAATATAAATTAGAAAAAGTTTAACTTTGCGACATATGCGGCAATTCCCTCCCAAACAGTGCTTGTAATTCCTGAAATATTTTTCAACTAATTTCTTTTGTGGGAAATTATCTCCTGCATCTTTATCTATGCCCATGAATTAGGGATGAAGACATAGATTAGAATGCACTAATTTCTGTAGTTATTGATATTAATCTGCTTATCTTATCTTTCTGGTACAGAACTCTCTAATCTTTGTGAGCCAATGAACTTTTTCTTGATGGTGTGTACATACATCCATAATGTACAAATAGCTGATATCAGCACTTTTGCCTGTATACAAGCATTTCTTATAATCAAGGTGTAAAGATATGTAGATTCTTGGAAATAAAGCAGCAGCATGACAGATATAACTCACTGTTCCTTTAATATATTCATACCAAGTGTAGTATAGCACATAAACCTTTCAAAGTACGATCCCTAAACACTGTGGTTATTTAGAGTCACTAGCAAACTACGTTTACTTTGATAATGAAAATACATAAAATTACTTATACATCAAATGCCAGCTATCAAAATCACTAAGTGAATAGCCAGTAAAGGTTTAATATTTGTTACATTAGTGGCACAACTATTATTATATAGTAGCATAGTTGCCTAGTTATTAAGTTGTTACTTTTATTATTATTATTATTACCATGTGAAAATAAGGAGTGATTGTATTACCTAGCCCCTATTTAGGGGTTGTTATACTACTTTTTGTATAAGTCACTGGATAATAGATTTATATTCCACTCTCTCAGGAGCGGGCTCAGTGTTATGGATATAATACTTCCTAGTTTTGCATATGACAATTATATCTCAATATAATTTCAATTGGTTACAATAAACACAACGTAAATTTACACTTTTAATGTAATTACTTACGTATACAGTGTTGGTTATGCTCGTCTCCTGACAAGCTGATAATTCCCCTTGGAATTGTTTATACTCGTCTAAAGGCGAGCTGATGATTCCCCTTGGAATCCGGAATTCAGTAATTATAACCAAAAAGCTAAATTCGCTTTGGATTAACCGTCACGGCGTCCACGCACGATTAATGTTGAAACTGAACTGGGGCACGGCGTTCCTGGCCTCTCCTGACCCTGCTGACCCAGCGCTGAGCATAGTGGTGCCGTTGTTTACAAGACCTGTAGATTATCACCTCTATGTTCCCGAGACACAGTGTCTATAGTGCCTTGTAAAACATTAAAGGCCTATCCCCTCCATGGGATCAACACCACACTCTGTAGCTTCAATGGAATGTGGAGCTCCCTTGAACTACCATTCCATCTACCATACAACCAGTGGAAAACCATTTCCATGGTGTATAATGGTCTCTTTGGGTCAGGATTACCTTTAAAATACTACTACTATAAGTCTGGCCGTTGACATGCTCCCTCACTGAAATCACACGTCCTCGGGTGACCTATGATTTCCTGAGAAAACCACCAATCGGTCTTAGTAGGAGGCTGTCAGAACTTATAAAGTAGTATCCGTTGACATAGTCCCCCTAGGTCTACGTGCATACGGTGAGTGGGAGAGAGGTTGCAGAGCTGGGCCAACCAATGACTCAATCGCCCTTGACAATGATAACCTCTTATCTCTCTCCTGCCTCAACCGCTTCCAGAGATATAAGGTAAAGCAAAGGCTAATAATAATCAAAATAGGTCCCAAGATTACCCCAACCCATGAGTTAACCTGAGTAACATAATGATGATCTGTCCGACCAAACAGAACAGCATTATCCTGGTCTATGGAGGCAATTGCCTTCACAAGGCCATTTATTGATGCATTAACCTTATCCAAATTTGCTTTTGACTGATTAAAATGATCATGAACTACCCTTAGATCTCTGGACAAGATGGGTTCCATAACATCTTGTAATACTTTATCATACTCCGAGAAATTAGTGTGGACTGAGGTAAAGTCATAACCAGTGGATACACTTTCCCTTCGACTATAAACTGTTATTCCCTTGTTTATAACAAGTGCACAGTCTCCGAAAATGCAAATACCCTGTTCCTTTGAGCTCTATGGTACGTCTACTACCGCTTGAACATTTTAACAATGCTGGTGTAGTCCTGTTAACAGAATAAAGTAGATCACCGAGATCATTATAGACCTTAAAGATTGGCGTGAACCCTTTCACCCATTCTGTCTTGCATACATTAGGGATACCATTGCTTCCCCCTGGAAGTCTTTCTAACATACATACACACGATTCAGTCACACTGATCGGCGATGTTAAAGCTCTGGGACACAAAATGAATTCCTTTGATTTCATGCACCCATCTAGCATTCCATTGCTAAACTCTATAACCTCAGAGTCTGTTTGAGCTATGTTACTTGGTAAACCCTTTAATGCAACTAGTCCTTTTCTGTTTGCATTGGAGTTGATAGTACCTCTGTCAACTCCCACTTGACTGGTTGGGGAATATGGAGTGTAATGGTGAAGATTAACTCATAACACACCTAACCAATTCCATTTTGGCAAAATCCTTAATTACATCTCCAAAAGATGCTCCCAACGTATTCCCTAATGCCTGTAGAACCTCTTCTACCACCGCATCAGTTAACAACCGAGGAGACACGTGACCTGTCAATGCCATTAATATGACCTCACAAGCCCGCTGAACTTCCTTATCAAGTGACCCGATAATGGCTTCCAAATTATCCATTTTTTCATTCCACTGAACCTCCCAATTAACCTCCCCAATTTGCCTATTCAAATCAAGTGAAAGTTTCCTTACATGAGAGTCGAGCCGTGCAACCTCCTTAGTTGTTAAGTCAAGTGTATTGGCCATATCCTTTAACACAGTAAACTGCTGTGATAAATGATGTTTTATAGCCACCGTTTGAGCTCCTAAACGTTTAACCTCAGCCCCACTACGGTCATCTAAGAGTCCAAACATCGAATGAAGAAGTCTTCCAACCCCGTCAAATAGGCTTCTTTTCACCCGACTTTTACAATGTTGGCTCTCTTTAACTCCCGTTAAAACCTCTCTGAAACCTTTGGTCATAAACGCCAGTCTATGCCCGACTAAACGCATTCTAGCTTCTCCATGAGCTGAAGAGTTTTCTCTCTTGACGACGGTAGATATTACTTCTAGTGACGTCTTGAGCCGTTCCAGAGTCTCGGAAATGGGTCCTAGGTCCTGATATTGCACAACCTTCCAGTGGATATTCTCGGTGAGAACCTTCTCCTCTCTTCTAATAAGGGCTACCCCGGCCGAAGAAGAGGTGGATTGCTCTCCGCCTGACAAACCATCCACAGGCAGGCTCCCAGGATCAGCATGCACATCCCTCCCAACATGGTTCAATATCTGCAAGAAGCATAACATTTTAATTCCATGTTGGTAACCACCACGTCCTTTCCAACAAAATGTTTATGTAAAATACGTGTTGGTGTGTCATGTGGTCATATGTGATCATGTCTAGTTATGGTTAGTTCTACTATGGTCCCTCGTGCAACCGTGCATAATATCCGGGTCCATACTTTGTACGTCCGCTAGTACGTCTCCCATGCATAGGTTCCCTACCCGCATGCTCAGAACTAACATTCCTCCCATGTTTCATTCATTCCATCATTCATTCTGCTTTCGCCCTCAGCGTTATTTGCAGAAGCATTGTTGGAATCTGTATTGTTTTGTGATATCCATTCTCATCTTACAACAATTATTGGCTGTTCCTGGAATAGACTCTTTATTGAATTCATCCTCCACAATTACATCCGGTCCCTCATCCTCTTCCCATGAAGGTTGAGCTTCCGTCCTTTGCACCGTTTCGGCTCCATCGCCAACTGGTCTAGGATAATTCATAAGGTACTCCATTTCCCTTTCGTCTTCTTCCTCCGGACTGCCTTCAGGGATGATAGACTCCTCGTCTGGTCTCATCTCCGGATATGGTCTCCTAGCTCTTGGAGCTAGTGCTCTTGGTATGGTTGCTTCCAAAGCCACCTTCATATTTTCCAAATGGACTTCTCTAAACTCCCTAGTTTGCAAGTCTCTTAACTGATAGACATAGGGTTTTACCTCCTTGGTAACCCGGTATGGTCCTTCCCATTTGGGTGATAATTTTGTATCCCCTTTCTTTCTAATGGCTTTCACAAAAACTCTTGTGCCTTCCCGTAGTGAAGTGTCCTTTGATTTCTTCAATCGAGTTCGACACTGTCTATCTGCTGCCCTTAGCAGATTCTCTCACATATTCATAGACTTCTTGAGATCTTCGGGTTCGTGTTGCCACGAAGTCCTCACTGGGTAGTCTATAACTTGTGATGGGTCTTGTCCACCATTCCGCTGGTGTTTTGGCATCCCTACCAAACATCACATAGTATGGCGTATCTCCAATAGCACTATGATAGGCTGAATTCAAGGCTAACTGTGCCTCTGCTAAATACTGGTCCAGTAGTGTTCTTTACCTTCCACTAGACCACGTAAGATGCTTAATACCTGCTGATTTGTCCTCTCACAGAGTCCATTTGATGCAGGGTGATATGCCACAATCTGACGATGATCATACCCTAAGGTCTTCGCCATGCATCTTAGAAGTTTATTCCTGAATTCCCTTCCTTGGTCAGTTAAGACTGTCTTTGGGACTCCATATTGCAGGAATATTGGATAAATACTCTTAGCTACTGCCTCTGCGGTTTTATCAGGGAGTGCTTCCACTACCGCAAATCTGGTGAGGAAATCCGTAACCACCAGTATGTACTTATTTCCCCCTTCCGTAAGGGGAAATGGTCCCATCAGGTCCATAGCTAGAGTCTGAAAAGGTTCCTCTGGTACTGGATACCTTCTTAAAGGAGTTAAGGGATGGCCTCTACCCTTAAACCTTTGACATGTAAGACATTGTTGACAAACCTACTAATGTCTTTGTCCATTCCACGCCAAGTGAATAGTCTTTTAGCACGAAACTTGGTCCTTTCTTCTGCCCCATGGCCTCCCAGTGGTGCTAAGTGAACTAGTGCTAGGGCTTTAGGAACTAAGCTCCTAGGCACACAAAGTACTTCTTCGACTTCCCTCATCGAATTCCGGTGTTGAATCTGTTTGTAAAGTAACTCTTGGTCCATAAAGAAGTCCTTCACCTCCAAATTCGGGTCCACCTTCTTTCGATTGATTTCAGTCTTGTCCAGGAGATATCGGATTACAGGCCCATATAGAGGATCTTGTCTTTGCTCTCTGATCATTTCCTCTAATGACCACGGCGGTCCATCTTCCTCCTCGTCCTGTTCTTCCTCAATCTTCTCCCCTGATGATTCGACTGCCAGAATACAAACAATTTGACAATTCTCGGCTTCGTCGATAATCATTTGTGAGGTACGTTCCACCTCCTCGGCGTTGATTCCCTCAGGAACTTCAATCCGGGACAGAGCATCTGCCGCTGCGTTAAGCTTCCCTGGATGGTACATAATTTTTGCCCCAAAGGATTGCGCAGTTAGAGCCCATCTCGTAACTCTCGCATTACCATCCTTCGCTTTGTGGAATAACCAATGAAGTGATCTGTTGTCTGACAGAACTACTACTTCTAATCCCCACACCAAGGGTTTAAACTTTTTTAAGGCCTCTATTATTGCTAGAGCCTCTTTCTCCATGGTGGTATACCGACTTTCAGCTGCCTTCAGCTGTCGGCTGTAGTATGCAACTGGGCAAAAATGGCCCTCATACCTTTGAGCAAGTACTGCACCAATAGCTCCTTGACTGGCGTCAGTGCTAAGATACCATGTTTTCCTGAAATCAGGTGCTTTGAGTACTGGTTCCGTAACCAAGTTCTCTCTAAGAATAGTAAAGGCTTTTTCCTGTTCATCACCCCAGATGAAAGGATTCTTCTCTGAAGTTAACTTTGAGCGTTGGCTTTCTTGGCATATCCATCGACAAACCTTCGATAATAGCCACTTAACCCTAAGAATCTCCGTACCTCTTTACGGTTCTTGGGTCTTGGGAAATTGCGTACTGCCGCTAACTTGTCTAGTGCAGGCTTCACATTCCCATGTCCCACTCTATGTCCAAGAAGATTAACTTCCTTCTGGAATAGGTGTGATTTCTCAGGACTAGCCTTTAGTCCAGCTTGTATCAGTCTCTGCAAAGCTCTGCCAATATGGGTAAATGAGTTTTGATATCCTCACTATATATTGCAATATCATCCAAAAATAATTGCAATCCCTTTCCAATTTGACCACTGAACACTCTGTTCATAAGTCTTTGAAACGTCCTTGGGGCGTTGGACAATCCAAAAGGCATTACATTATATTCATAATGTCCCAGGTGAGTAGAGAATGCCGATCTCTCCTTAGATTCCTCGTCTAGTGGCACCTGGTGATATCCACTTCTCAAATCCAGTGTGGAAAACCATTTACTTTGACTGACTTGATACAAGATGTCTTCAATTAGAGGTAAGGGATAAAATTCGGGTCTCGTTTTACCATTAAGAGCCCTGTAATCCACACACAACCTTGGATGTGAATTATCCTTCCTCTTTACTAGGACAATTGGAGCATTCCATTCGGATGAACTGACCCTTATATGACCTTGATCCATTAAGGCTTGGACCTCTGCCTCCACGGCTGGTCGTACTGCATAAGGAATAAACCTGGGTGGTATATAAACCTTTTGTTCATCGACTGTGTCTATCCGATGACTAACCAAGTTTGTTTTCCCCAGTGGCTCCTCCTTCAAGTTAAAGGCTACCTGAAAGTCCCGCAAAACCCTTTCTGCGTCTTTCCTCTGGCTTGGAGATAATACCCACTCATCTGCCTTTAACTCTTTCAGTAATCTCTGAAAGCGATCCTCATCTAAAGTTGGGTCCTGACCTGCTTTCACCTGTTGAGGGTCGATCTGAAGTGCCTGTTCCAATGGGTCATCCTCATCTTCATTGTCCGGTATTTCAGTTATTACAGCATTTACTGTTAATTTAGCCAATGATTTTTGTCTTTCCTTATGGCCCTTGTCCAAATTCCCACACAGTTCCACATCCGTATCTTCTATAGGAATGCCTGGGCTATCCTCCGTTTTTGGTGGATTAGTACTGGTACCCTTCCCCAGTTACAAGCTAAGACCTTCACCTGATCCTCTGCTGTGCATATAACAGGAATGCGGCGGTAATGGATTTGCTTTTATCGAGTTCCATCCTCCAATTTTCCACCTTTTCTTTTAAGACATCCAAGTAACACAGCTGCCTTACCTGGAGGTACAGTAATAGTTTCCAATGAAACCACTGTATATTCATGAGAGTTAATTTGATCCTCTGCCAAATCTTCCTTAGATTTCTTGCTCTGGTCCTCCAGACTCTCATTCACCTGGTGACTCCCTACCACTTTAGGTGATTGAACCGGTTTATGTCCCTCGTGGTTTACCATACCTTTCTGCAGGACTTTAGATCCTTGACAAATTCTCCATTTATCAAAATCTAGTATTAATTTATGCTCGTGCATTAAGGACGATCCAACAAGAACGTCACAATCCCTAAGAAAGTTAATGATCTCGTCCTGAAACACATAGCACCTATGAGAGATTGTTTTTCCTCCCATTTCGAAGGTCATTTGGGTCTCCCCTAGTGCCTTCACCGGTTCTCCTTCCAGTATTCCACTTACGAGCAGTTCACGTGGTACAAGCGGAGAAGGAAGGTTCCTTGGATCCTTGTGGTCCTTCTCTTTCACCTCCTCCTGCTCCCTGTACATGGAATACTTAACCAATGTTGGGCTCGCCCCTGAGTCCCAAACTGCAGTAAAAGACTTTTGACTATTAGGTACCTTAACCTCAGTCATCATGTATCTTGGAAGAGACGATGCTAAGATAGGAATTATCAAGCGTCCTACTCCTTCCTGTACATCTTTGTCTTCTACATTCCTTCTGTTTAGTTGCCGCCCTCTTGGGACGGTGCTGAAGAGTTTTTTGACTCTTTATCCGCTCCATAGCTTTTCTTTTGTGGACAATCTTTGACTATATGTCCACTTTCCTCACAGAAGAAACACTTAACTTTTGCCGGATTCTTAGGTTTTGTTCCGGTCGTTGGAAACTTCTGTTTAGGTTGAGCGCCTTGACCAACCTTAGATCTTCCCCTTGCTGTAGATGCTTGGAGCTCCAGCATCGATCCTTAGGATGTGAGTTGTTCCACCCATGAACATTACAGAAATATCTACTTGATTTCTGCCAAGAGATCTTCTTTGGAGGTTCCCTTGGTCTCTCCTCTCTTACCACTGCTACCTGAGCCTTCCCGGTTGCAGCGGTTTTATACCTGGGGCGTAGGGTGGACTGGAAGTGTTTGTCTTTCTCCCCATTTCTTTCCACCCACCTCGTGTAATCTTTTATGATTTGCGAGTATGGTATGGTTTTCAATTTGGCTATGTCCCATTCATCTCCAATTCGGTATTTGTCTAAAGCACCACCAACCATGGTTGATGCAAGGAATCTCATAGTTACGGCGAGTAATGGGTCTGCCTTAAATGGCCAATCGTGTAGAAGAGTAAAATTCATGTGGAGAGCCTTTTTACTGTGAATCCATTCTTCAAAGGATTCATCCTGGTACCTTTCTGCCTCTCTTAAAGACTCGTCCCAGTTCTTCCTCTTTTGAGAGAATATTGCCAAAATACCCTCTTTAAACTCCTCCCAAGAGATGTCCCTGGAGGTTATCATTTGTGCTATCTCCTTAGCATTTCCCTTATCAGGGTGGATGTAACTTGCGGCGAAGTTCACCCTCTCGGCATCTCCCCTGACACCGTTCGTCCCATCTCTATTTCCACCCGGGCGATCCATTCGCCTCCGGTCAGATCATCCTCATTCCCTTTAAACAGGGGGACACATCGACCTCTTTGCACCATTTCCACTGGTGTAGGCTTTACCACGGCCCCGGCGGAATCTGGTGCTAGTGGTTGGGTTGTTGTAGGCGGTTGTTTAGTCCTTTCTAGTTTTTCCTCCAAGTCTGCAACCTTCTTCAGCAGATCTTCTACCACCTGTTCCATGTCTCCGGTCTCCTCAGCCCAGGTACGAGATTCTTGAAGAGCACTGTTCTCCGCTTGAGAACTAGAAATATCTGTCAATTCCCCGCGAATGTCTGAATTTCCTGACTCGGGATCCACGCTCGACGATAGTACCTCGTCACTTAAGTCGGCTACCGCGCCAACTCCGGTGTACACAGAGCCTAATAGGTCTCGTAGACCTGGCTCCCCCGCTATGACAAACGGATCTTCGTCGTCACTACTGTCCGTAGTAGCCGTGTCCCGTCTGTTGCTGTCTTCCCCGGACATGCACAATTACGTTAACTGGTAGCACTGTGTTTTTATTTCCAATGTTCGAGGAATACTTTCCCCTTTTAGTTTTATAGTTTCTTTTCACTTGGAATTACAAGTCTCAGCCAGGCACACGGCCCTCGAAGCCTAACTCGCTAATTCCCACTTAAAAACAACAAGTAGAGTCAGGCACACGGCCCTCGCAACTCTCTTGCGGTTTATTGTCTTTGTGGTTCTTTCACAATGTCACTAAACACCAGTACTACACAGTTGTTCACTTATCGGTAATGTATAACCCTTGTTATTCACACGTAAGTTAAAATCTATCACTGCCCAGCGAAAAGATATTAAGGAAACCAATATCGATGTAATATGAGATGTATGTACACTGTAATGGTCGGAAAGTTTTGTTGTGTTATGTTAGTAAATAATTTCACTCATAAAACACTTTAACCCTGCAAGAAAACTTTATTGACCAAGTATTTAATATTCTAAGAAACTTGTTTATTAACATGCATTAATTATATATATCCCATCATTAAATACTAAAGGGTAAATTATTAAAAATAATACTTTATTAGGAGTTCATTCATTCATGCGCCCAAGCATCACCAAGATTCGCTATAGCGGAGGCTCAACCCGCGCTGATCCTCTCTCTACAGTCACCACTTTCAGACTGATAAACTCCTCCCCTTTTTGTGACGTCACGTTTTCCTCACGCGTTCTTGCGTTTTCTTTTCTCTCTCTCACTTGAGCCAATGAGCTACACTTGCTCCCTCTCGTGCACTCCTACCAATCACGTTCTCGCTCGCTCTTGTGACGTCACGTACTCACGCACATACACAATTTCCACTTGGTGCTCGCCGTCTACAGAGCTGCTTCTCTGAGAAAGATTTCTTTAAAACTTTGTATTATATCGTTAACACTATTAATCCCTTACGCTGCCACCAACTATTACCTAGCCCCTATTTAGGGGTTGTTATACTACTTTTTGTCACTGTCACTGGATAATAGATTTATATTCCACTCTCTCAGGAGCGGGCTCAGTGTTATGGATATAATACTTCCTAGTTTTGCATATGACAATTATATCTCAATATAATTTCAATTGGTTACAATAAACACAACGTAAATTTACACTTTTAATGTAATTACTTACGTATACAGTGTTGGTTATGCTCGTCTCCTGACAAGCTGATAATTCCCCTTGGAATTGTTTATACTCGTCTAAAGGCGAGCTGATGATTCCCCTTGGAATCCGGAATTCAGTAATTATAACCAAAAAGCTAAATTCGCTTTGGATTAACCGTCACGGCGTCCACGCACGATTAAGGTTGAAACTGAACTGGGGCACGAGTGCCACACAGGCGCCCTGGCCTCTCCTGACCCTGCTGACCCAGCGCTGAGCATAGTGGTGCCGTTGTTTACAAGACCTGTAGATTATCACCTCTATGTTCCCGAGACACAGTGTCTATAGTGCCTTGTAAAACATTAAAGGCCTATCCCCTCCATGGGATCAACACCACACTCTGTAGCTTCAATGGAATGTGGAGCTCCCTTGAACTACCATTCCATCTACCATACAACCAGTGGAAAACCATTTCCATGGTGTATAATGGTCTCTTTGGGTCAGGATTACCTTTAAAATACTACTACTATAAGTCTGGCCGTTGACATATATATATATATATATAATATATATATATATATATATATATATATATATATATATATATATATATATATATATATATATATATATATATATATATAATATATATATATATATATATATATATATATATATATATATATATATATATATATATATATATATATATATATTATATATTTATATATATATATATATATATATATATATATATATATATATATATATATATATATATATATATATATATATATATATGTATATATATTGTATTTATGTGTATGCATGCAGGTTCATTCACTTTCTCAGTGAATGAACAGTGTCTTTTGCTTGTCACAGTTAAATAAAATCCATAATGGAAAGAGGAAATTATTTTTAATTTATTTTTATTTATAATTTTTACAGTTGTGTATGCAAAAAACTTTTATCCCCCATAGTACTGGTTAGTTTATATACAACTTTCCTATTCCGAGTTGTGAAACTTAATTTCACTGAGATAATTAGAAAGCAGTAATGCAATTTTCTTGCAAGATGCAATGTCTGCTTTCATCTCTTCCATTCCATAGTTTGTATATATTCCCTCTCCACCTGTGATTTGCATCTTCTCTCTATCTTCTTTTTCATAATCCAGGTTTCATAAATGTGAAGGTATGCACATTGACATGTCTGCTTAAGATTGGGATAAATCAAAATACAATAACAATATAATCTTTTACTAACTGTAATGGATGGACTAGTGGGAATCACTGTAATTACCTAATTATAAATATTTTGTACTAAGTAGCCCTAAATATGTGCAGATTCTCTCCAACAACTTGATGATGGGACGATATGACTAGAATAAATCAATGCACTCTACTTTACACGGATATTAAGAAACATTACCAATTTAGTTGCTTACCCTAACGACCAAAATTTCAAAAAAGAAAATCATTTGAGAAAAAAAACATCTTTTTCTTGCAGCATATTCCTATTTTCTTTAATATAATTGTGATGACATTATGAGTGATTTTAGTATTTGATTACTTCTAATTATTAATACTGGAACAAAAACATTACCCATTGTGGTACCTACATCTGCAAATATTCTCCAAGACTTACATTAACTTCAAAATGAAATATATGCCTGTTAATGGAGAAACAATAATTCCTTACATATAACATGTTTATCTAAAGAGGCATTACTGTCTTCTACTTAGCCGAATGATCTATATTGATAAAAAGCAGATATACAGCATAACAAAGTACACCTTAGGCACATGTGAAATTCAAAATATTGATACCCTGTTTAAAATCTAAAAATAGAATTTCATTACTATCAAAAAGAAATACATCAAAAATAGCCAAAAAAGCACAGACAACAACAACAACAAAAATGTTACTTTACCTACAATAGATGCATCTGTAATATAAATTAATTCAGACTGAATTATTAAAAGTTCTTCCATATTTACAACATTCTTAGAATTGAGTCTGCTTTAAAACTTCAAATAGAACATAGATTCCTATTTTACAGTGTACAGTTTACTTATTAACAACATGTAGACAAAGTTATTCTCCATTATAGTTTCTCCTTTCTATTGCTTTCTGTAAAAATGTTAAATCCAATTATGCAGTATAATTAGACAAATAAAAATTGAAAGTTTCCCTTCTTAGCTTCTATGAGCTCATCTATTAACTGACAAGCCTTTAAATTCATATCATTTATTAGAGACTTATCAAAGAAGTAAGACATATTGCACAATAATTTTTCTGAGCAACAATATGTGAATTTGAACACGCAGCTATAATATACATCAGACACATAACCATTGACAAAGAGGTGGGGATAATTGCACAACACACTTTTGTTTCACTACATCACATTTTTTTTTTTGTCTGCCCAATTGTCTCAAAATTGAAACAGCAGAGTGTGTATATGACATCAAAATTGATTTAAAAAATGAAGAAATAAATGAACATATATATATATATATATATATATATATATATATTATATATATATATATATATATATATATATATATATATATATATATATATATATAACGACAGAGACAGAGACAAAATACATAAAACTGCACCCTCTGTAGTAAGTAGCATATTTTCTTTTTTCTCAAATGAAAAGTATCTTTATAAGTTTCTAAATCTTGGTTTATTCTGCAGCTCTGGATGTTTTCTCCACATCTTCATCCTTAAAGCCAAAGGTAAGTGTCTGAAATGATAAAATTAGGATTAAAATGTGCATATTTTTGAGAATAGGAGAAAGAGCTCAGGGCAGAGGGGATGTGGCAGTGGGAAAGAGGCATGTGAAGAGAGAGAAAGAGAGAGAGAGAGAGAGAGAGAGAGAGAGAGAGAGAGAGAGAGAGAGAGAGAGAGAGAGAGAGAGAGAGAGAGAGAGAGAGAGAGAGAGAGAGAGAGAGAGAGAGAGAGAGAGAGGAGAGCGAGAGCGAGAGCGAGAGCGAGAGAGAGAGAGAGAGAGAGAGAGAGAGAGAGAGAGAGAGAGAGAGAGAGAGAGAGAGAGAGAGAGAGAGAGAGAGAGAGAGAGAGAGAGAGAGAGAGAGAGAGAGAGAGAGGTGGGGGGAAGGTACAGATAAAGAGGACAAGAAATGGAAACTACATGGAACAATGAGAGAGAAAGATATATTTCTGTTTCTTATTCTTTAACCAATGATCTAGTTTTATAAAGCAAAATATAATTTCAGTTCTGAGTGCATTTAGTTATAAATCATTTAAACTGAAGCAAACATCCTTCAATATAACAATTAATGTAATAAATGTATGAAGAATGATAAATGTGATCTTGTTTTTCCTTCTCGAAAATATATAAAACATACACTTTGGATCAAATATTATTATATTCTTTCCAGGATTTCATTAGCTGCAATATGTATAGTCTCTGTACAGTCTCTTATGATTATGTTCCAATATTATGTAAATTATATTGAATCAAATCAAGCACAAATACCAAATGAAAACATTGTTTTTGTTTAATTTTCTTTCCATTTAATGACTTTTTTCATGGTGCTGGCAATGCATAATATACATGCCATATTCATTGTTACTTTAGTTTATTAATTGTTTTCCCATATAAATGGCTCCATGAGTGCTTAGTCACCTAGGAGTCAGGTACGAATCCTCCCTATCTAACCTGTTTCCCCTTTTCCTTGATGCAGGATGATTATTTTTTCTACTATTGCTATTAGTATTTCAATAATATCAAAATATTCATAATATCAATAATAACAAAAACAGCATCACTATCAATAGCAATAATAGTAATAATAAAAAAAAATCAGGTAGGGCAGTCAGGTGAGGATATATTGGATATATTATCTGCTTCCATGAAGGCTGAGTATTTGTGGAGCCATCTTACATGCAAGAAAATTCACTCAAAAAAAACTAGCTAAATAAAAATATATCATAGATAATCAAATAATCAACTAACTGAATTAATTCCCGAAGACGCAGACGTGATGCTTGAGCTCTGCGTGAAGATGATCCATAAATAAGGATTTCAGCGTGAAGACACTGGTCTAGAGCAGAGGCAGCAGCACTGAGGTCCCCTTTCAGAGCATGGACTCGAGACAGTTGTCGTAATACTCCACACACCTGGTTGAACATTAACTCACATATATATGAAACCTTCTTATTGTATTTGGTATACATATCTGTTTACAATATTTTTCCACCATCTTGTGAAAGGAAAATGAAGAATATTAAACTTGTTTTGCGCTATCCTTTAATTATTATTCTGCTTTTGACTTCTCAGCAAATCTTCCTCACTTTTAGGATTATGCAGTTTGTCTATACTAATATTCTTAAGTCTACCGAGTAATAGAATTATTACTAGGGGTATATTTCAAAGTATACAATTTTTAATAATTCTATTGTCAGATTCTTGATCTATATCTTTTCTATATTCCTATATTTTAGAGTAAGAAAATTTCTTATATTACTATTTTTCAGATCATCAATCTAATATAATACTATACTCAGGTATCTAAACTTTGTCTTTATTACTCCACTCGACAATGCCTAAAATACCTCCATTACTATGTTTTACATATATACAAACTTCTATAATGTTACACTTTTAGAATGTGAAATGTCTCTATATAAAAGTTTGTTTCAATTATAGTGAATAGAATGTCTGCCTACCTTCCAATGCATTTCTGAAACCAAGCCAAACAAAAAGGAAACAAAAGGACTTCAATTACCTGAGTGCTGTAGTCCCCATGGGCTTCACGGCAGAGCTTAAGCCTTGTTTTAAGCTGCTCTAGTGCCTGCTCATAGTCCTCCTCTTGAAGTAGGACCTGTGGAAAGCAAACACAAAAGAACAACAAGTGCATTAAAGATATGAACATTCTATGCATCTAAAAGATGAATGGAAACAGTGCATCATGGTGATTTTATGAATTCAACATGTATATGGTAAATATGGTTATATGGTATCAGTTCAAATGAAATTGGACAATATTTTTTTCATTTTTCATTTTCTAATGGAATATTGAAGGTACCAAATTCTTTCTCCTGTAATATTACTGCCATATCCATTTCAATAATGTATCCTTGAAGTGGCATGATATAATATAGGAAAAATACTGAAAAGAGTTGTTGTTTGTATTGAATGTATAACTGCTAAATACAACATTTGTTATTATTTCCATTACCTTATCAGTAGGAATGTTATTCAAACAGACATATAAGCAGTCAAAATTACACTGAGAGGCTGTAAAAAGTTGTGAAATATATATAGTATAGTGCAAGTGTGCTGAGAAAATAAAACAAGTATTTTTGCCAAGAACTTTTTCATACAATGAATAATAAAATAGAAGAGTTACCTGTTATTTTTTATTACTGCAGACTAATTATAACTATGAGTCATAAACTATAGGTAATAAGACATATATAAGTAGGATAAATTTGAAGAAAAAACATGGAGGGTTAATTACAATATGATAATTACTTAGAACATTGATGGTTATGCTCCTCCAG